ACTTTCCACAGCTTTCCTTACATTCAGATTTTGTCCCAAGCCATTTCTCTCCAAACAACCAGTCTCATTTAGGACAAAATTACTTTCTTTTACCTTCAACAAAAATGCATTTCCATTCCTTTTATCTTTCTTACACATACAGAGTTGCTTCCCTTATTTGCATCAGTTTTAATGACACTTAGAATTTTGCACTTGTAGAAACCTTAGTCTCCAGTGAAAACTAAGTAGTACCCAATTGTGAACTGTTACACCAAAACTTTTTATTTATTTATTTATTTATTTTAAAGATTTTATTTATTTATTTGAGAGAGAGAATGAGAGACAGAGAGCACGAGAGGGAAGAGGGTCAGAGGGAGAAGCAGACCCCCACTGAGCAGGGAGCCCGATGTGGGACTCGATCCCGGGACTCCAGGATCATGACCTGAGCCGAAGGCAGTCACTCAACCAACTGAGCCACCCAGGCGCCCTGCACCAAAACTTTTTAGACGGCAATTTTATGAACTGGTTAAGCACCAAGCATGTTTACCAACAGGCCCAAATATTCTTAGTTTCCTTGCAATAAGAAGTCAAAAGCACAAACCTATGTCCAGTAATCAATGCTTTAGCACCCTATCCTTGTAAAAGACCTATATTTCCAACGAATTCAATCCCATTTATCATCCAAGCAAAACTTTCAGGTTTCAGGTTACCAAAGACTTTGGAAGCTGTCTTAACAATTACCCATGAAAACTTTGAGACAATTAACCATCATTTAAGTCATATTTTTGCTAACAAATTGCAACAGACATAACACGAGCCTATTTGACCTTCAGCAAATCTCGACAGAATAAAAATTTCACATTTAATGTTGATACCTTTAAAGACATGTTTATCGGGCACCTGGGTGGTTCAGTTGGTTAAGTGACAGCTTTTGGCTCAGGTCCTGATGGAGTGCTCAGCAGGGAGTCTGCTTCTCCCTCTGACACTCCCCGTCTCGTGCTCTTTCTCTCTCTCCCAAATAAATAAATAAAATCTTAAAAAAAAATAAAGACATGTTTATCTTCATTAAACCAACAAACTTAAATTAGTTTAAATACCGAACTATGTTTCACCTGGATCTGCTTTTAAAAGTCTGTTGTTCCCCATTGTCAGTGTTTACCTGGGACACTGGTGTTAAGTCCAGGGGGTGCTCTTCTTGGCTCCTTGATAGAGAGGGGAGGAGGAAGATCCATGGTGCTGGAGGCACCGAGGATGGTCTAGAATCTGGTTATGCAGACTGAACCCAAGGAGGTGCAGAAACGGGAGGAGAGAGGGGGAAACAGAAGAGGCAAAGTGGCGCCGGAAGGCAGAGAAAGGGTTCCTGGTTCTAGAGCTCATCAGCTCCACAGAGGAGCAGACATCATGCTTTCCCACCAACAAAAGGAAATAGGCAGTCCATGTTAGGCCAAAGAAGACGGAATTTCCATGAAACAAAGGGAGTTTCAGCAGCTCCTGGGAATATTCCTTAAAGTCATCGTCCTGAGGTAGACTAAGCAGGGACAATTTTGATTCCAATTATAGCCATTAACCCAGGAAATGAATGAGGGAGAAGCCCCCACATACCACTGGGTCTATTAGGAGGAATAATGAAAGAGAGAGAAACCCAGAGTCCCCTTTGCTAGGGAGGTCCTGTGTTTCCTCCAGCAACCTGGGTTTATTCGCAGGAGGCCTATTTAGGTAATTATCATCCAGTATGTCAGGAGGGAGTTTACTAGCTGACACATTCAGGCAAACACATTCTGCAAGAGGCCCTTAGGTCCGGGTATAGAGCAATGAAGGCCTACGTATGAGCAATAATGAAGGTACCCTGGGTCCGTTTGCCCTGTTTCCTGCAGAAGAGATCTGATAGATCTTACTGAGGTCATGCAGTACCTTGGTTAAATTTTGCAATCCGAATTGTTTCCAGTGGGATAAAAGGCATCCCAAGGGAGAGTCCTTGGGGATTGAATAGAGAACGTCCATTATCAAGAAAACCAGCCCCCCACCTCCACTACGGGGTGGTGTCCCACGTGCAGGATATGTCAGATGTTCCTGGTGTCATAGCGACCTGAGGTATCCCTCGAATGAAATCGCTATGATCACCACCTGCCGTAAATGCCCTGTAGGAGAGAAGCCGGCCCTCCCCTCGCTTCCCCATCGCATTCTTGTCTATGATGGGTGCCAGGGTATGGACCAAGTTTGCCTTGCTGTGAAGGCCACGTGCGCCTTGGCTTGCTCTGCTGAGGGCCCCGCTGTGAAGGCCATGTGCACCTTGGGTTGCCTTGTTGTGAAGGCGACTTAGAATCCACCGTTTTTAACCCATGGAATACACTAGAGAAGTTTTACAAGAGGAAAGTACCCAATTTTGTAACTTAAGTAGTTAGTAGAAGACATTGACGGGAAGAGAGAAATCCACATGATCTAAGCAACATTCCAACCCATGTAGTCCTCATAGCCAACGTCCCTAGGAAACTGGTCCCCCATTGGGTTTTAATTCAGTCGGGTACTGTTTTCAGCCGGCTGCAAACTGAGATCTCCAGCCAGAAGCGGCTAGACCAGGGATGTAAAGGGGATCACATTAGACCAATGAGGCGGAAACCTCACACGGGAATCTTAAGATTGGCAGTCGTCCTGGTGACTTAGGTGGCTGTCCCATGCCCAAGACAGACGACTTTGCGTAAGGACAAGAATAAAGAGAGGGCACCAAGTTTCTGGGTCTTATTACCATCCCGGCCAGGGTACTAACTTCCAGCCAAAAGGCAGTCTTCTTCTCCCCATAGAGCAGCCACGGGCTAGAGGATTGCAGTCTGAGCAATGGGCATGAAAATGTTCCAATAAGACCGTACTCCCTGAAGGGCCCCTGAAATGAGAGTAAAGGACAAGAAGAGAAAGTACTCCCCAAGTTTGCACCAAAGCTCAGAGTTTAGATGAAAAGACTCAAAGGCCCCATGTTGGGCTCAAAATGATGTGGTTTTGGAGTAGTGTTGTTGGGGTCCAGAACTGATGGCCAAGAAAGAATTCTTTGGTGCAAAAAGGTGGTTTTATTAAAGCATGGGGACAGGACCCTTGGGCAGGAAGAGCTGCTGCCCCAGGGTTGTGAGTGGTGGCTGATTATATACTTGGGGGTTGGGAGTAAGGAAAAAGGATTTTCAAAAGGATTTTCCTATGCTAAAGAGGACCTACAAGATATTGGAGGATTTGCCACTGTCAAGTTAAGGTTGTTTTTCCCTCTAGCAAAGCATTAACATTAAGAGTGTTGGGAGGGGTGCCTGGGTGGCTCAGTTGTTAAGCATCTGCTTTCGGCTCAGGTCATGATCCCGGGGTCCTGGGATCGAGCCCCGCATTGGGCTCCCTGTTTGGCGGGAAGCCTGCTTCTCCCTCTCCCACTCCCCCTACTTGTGTTCAATCTCTCGCTGTGTCTCTCTGTCAAATAAATAAATAAAATCTTAAAAAAAAAAAAAGAGTGTTGGGAGTTTCCTTCTGGAAGTTAGGTTATTGATAAGAATGTCTTTTTCTTGTAAATCACTGAAACATTTGTAAACTGAGGGAGAGTCCTGACCCCCAGGAGTGTAATCTGTAAATTAACCATTTGTCTTTTCTTCCCTTGGCTTTAGGGCAGCGGGGAGTGCCTGAGGAATGTCACACATGTCCCACCTGGGGGTGGGGCCTTGTGGGGTGTCAGCTTGTGCTTTGTCCTCAGCTTGCCTTCTGCTCCCTCATCAATATTGTTCAAGTATTCAGCAGTATGTCTGTCACATAGCAAGTTCTCTATCAATGTCATATGCTGTTTTGGGATGGCATAGTTGACTCAGCCTCTTCAGACTTCAGAGGTGGGCTGGGGAATAATTATACCCCTATGGGGTAAGCCCTCCATTTCAGTGGGTTTCCTGTTCTTAAGTTGGGAGAGAAGGTTAATGCAGGAGGGGAGCAGATATGTTCATTCTTGAGGTCTGCATTTGGGTAAGGGTGGACCCAAGTTCTGGGGTGTGCCTAGGGGTGCAGTGGAGCCTGAAGCCAAAGCTACAAAACTTTTCTTTCCCCCCCAGATCAGTGTTTTGTTTTTAAAGATTTTGACTTAAGTAATCTCTATACCCAACATGGGGCTTGAACTCACAACCCCAAAATCAAATGTTGCTTGCTCTACCCACTGAGCCAGCCAGGCACCCCTCCAGATTAGTGTTTTGTTTTTTGGGTTTTTTTTTTAAAGATATTTATTTATTAATTTGAGAGAGAGAGAGAGAAAAAGCAGGAGTGGGGGAGGGGCAGAGGGAGTTGGAGAAGCAGACCCCCCGCCGAGCAGGGAGCCTGATGCGGAACTGGATCCCAGGACTCTGGGATCATGACCTGAGCTGATGGCAGACACTTAACAGACTGAGCCAGCCAGGTGCCCCCAGATCAGTTTTTAAATTACATTCCTCAGCATATAAACAACCCCAAATCTCTAGTCTGGAATGCAGCCTTCATGGAAGATAAACCCCTTAGGTTAACACTTGTGACAAGGGATTGAGAAGAGAGAAAGAGGGAGAGGGAGACGGCGCCTCTATAGCAAACACAGGTGTTATTGTGGCAACAGAACCCTGCAGAGGGCATCACCAGCTAAGGCTGGAGCCCTCTTACAGCTTACAGGCTGAGGGCTAGTTCCAGGTTCGGGTTGAGGAGGTGAGTACTGCTGTTTTAGGGTGGGGAAAATTTGGGGGGCTAGGCCTTGCTAGGGTTGCTAAGGAGGAGCCCCTTGTTGTTAGACTGCTCTTTTGTCAAAGGGGATGTTCACTATAGTGGGGTTTTTTTTTGTTTGTTTTTGCAACAGTCAAGGCACGTATCCATTTCCGAGAAATGAGATTTCAGTCTGGGCTCACGGCATACTCAGGCAAGTGGCCTAAGGGTGAGAAACTATTTGGTGGTGTGCCCCGCCCCTGCGAGGCAAGCAGGAAGGCTGGGCTCCCGCCAGCCACTCTGCTCCTTCTATGTTGGACGTGCAGCCCTTTGCCTCTGCTCCCATTGGTGGCCCCTCCCAGCTGGGGTTATAAAGCCCCATACTCAGGGCCTGCGTGCCGGTGGCTCTGACCTGCCTTCTTCTGCGCCCTGGTCCTTCAGGCACAATGGGACCTGGCTTCCCACCACTGCTGCTCCTTTTGCCCCCGATGGTGCTGTTGCTGTCCCTCCCCCTCCTACTGCACTACTTGCAGCGAAGACGCCCTGCTGGGCATCATGAAGGACCTAGGGGACAAACTCAAGGTGAGCTGTGAATTGGTGGCCCCGGGGAGGTGAAGAGCAAGGCACAAGGGCCTAACCTTAACCTCAGAGGGCATCACAGCCTTCGCCCCCTCACTCCACTGGGTTTCCTCCCGCTCTGCCTCCCCTCCCCTTTGTTTCCTCCACTTTTGTCCCTGCTTTTCCCTTTCTCCTTCCTCTCCCCTTCCCAGTTTTACTTCACCTCCTTCCCACTGCAGTTCTAATCCCTGACACTCCGCAGTTCCTCAGGCTTTCTTGCTGACCCTAAATTTGAGTCGAAAAGGAGCAAAGAAAGTTTTGTGGGTGGTGAAGGCAATGTGGGCTGCCTTTCGGGAAGGATTGGGAAGATGGTCATAGGGCCACATGAGTGGGGCTGGAGGAGCTACAGGGTAGGACCCGACTTTCCCTGGGCAGCACAGTCCATCCCTGGGAGGAGGGGGGATCCTGTCAGTACTCACAGGTGTGAACCAAGCACCCAGAAATCCCCCGATTTCAGCTACCTCATCGGGCCTGGGAACTGGCCATTGTCCAGGATGCCAGTGGCTCAGAGGGTGTGCACCCTCCTGACCTGTGGGAAGGCAGGGCCCAGACAGCCTCATTATGTCTGTTTCACTTTCCAATTCTAGACTATTTCCAGAATGTAAACTTCAACATGGGTATGTGTTTCAACGCCCAAATGGCTTTCAGTGAACATGCGGTTTTCAGGGATGGGCAAAGTGCCATCCAGACTGAAGAGAGCCAACAGAGCTCTCTGAGGACAGACGATGAAGGTAAGTGGGGTCTGAGTTGTCACCTGGGTGACCTTTACCTGACCTTGAGGGAGGTAGTTCTCAGGAGCCCTGGGGTCAATAGCAGAGAGATTGGGAAGGGTTCTTTTTTTCCTTTAAAAGTTACAAAAGGAGTCATGGCCAGAATGCATCATGGATTTCTCCGTGGGTGATGGTTTTAACTAAATTTCTATTATCAGCTTCCTGGAATTATAATCTGGAATTTCCTTACAGGGCTTGGCATTTGGCTCTTCCTTGCATATTGTACCCTTAAGCCCTGGGAAAGCTATCCCAGATTAGGGTTCTAGCACTGTTTGCAAAATTAATGCTTCCATTGTTTGAGCCAAGGGCTGAAATCAATGTAGCAGTATTTAAATGTCATCTAAGCATATATATGATAGTGAAAAAAGGGCTGTAAAATCCTGGAAAAACAAAATATTGCACAAGCTTCCTGGATCTGGTGCTGGACTGCCACTGGCCCTTGACTGGACCAACAGAGTTATCAGAGGGAAAAGGGCTTGTTGAGGGGCACCTGGGTCTTTGGGGAGTCCCCATGCAGACCCAGGGATGGGAGGGACTGGGATGAAAATTGCAATGGAGTTTGTTTGTGGTAGTGCTTGTGAGAACTTGAGGCCTTGGGGGCAAGGTGAGGGGTTGGGGGAAGATGGCCCACTAGGGGCCCCCCTCTGTCATTGCAGGGTGGCTGATGTCCCTTCTTACCTGGCAACCTGACTCCTCAGGACCATGTACTGTTTCTTCCCATTGGCTGAATCACTCATTCTTTCAACAAATATGTATCATCTATCTCAAATGTGGGAAACACTTGATCTTGGAGGCCACAAATCAGAGATCCTCTTTTCTTGTCTTTCTCTCCAGATGACAGTCTCCTGTATGGATACCAGGACCGTGGGGACCTCTCCGTGCCCTTCTTGAGACCAAGGGCTCAAACTGGTTTTGAATCCCACCATGACACTGTAAACGATTGTAGAGAGTTGGCCCTTCTTTGACCTGCTCAGTTATTCATTTAGCCCTTTTCTGTGCTCCTGTAGCCTCAAAGGATGGGGCCCCCCTGCTCCAGCACTGTTCAAGCCCTGAAGCCTGCTCCTCCTCAGCTCTGGATATTGACATTTGCACAGCTTCACCCACCAGATCAAGGCTTTCTGCTTCCCATCGCCCTTGCTGCTCTTTGCCTCTGATTCCTGTCCCCTCCATTTCTCTCTCTGTACCTCCAACCCTCCCTTACCCTTTTCCATATCTCTGTGAATTGCTTTCCTTCCCTTTGAAGTCCCAGACCCCTACCCCTTCTCCTTAGTTCAGGAAAACATAACTATATCATTTTGCCTAACTGTCCTTGGAATCTCATGTTTATGTGAATTCCCCATATGTTCATCAGTAAATTTGATTTTTTTCCCCCTGTTAATCTGACTCCTGTCAATTTAATTCTTAGACCACCTATAAGAATCTAGAAGGGTATATAAAATTTTTTCCTCCCCAACAGTGTATTTGGGAGAATGGGCTCTGTAATGTGAAATATTTATGATTAGCAAAATGAGTGGAGAGTTCTTCAAAGAATGACAAGAGCAGCTACATGACCTATGTGTGTCACTGGCAGGAAGCGCAGGGGGCCGAGGTGGGGACAGGGTGGGGGATGACCTAGAGATTGCAAATGACACTGGTAGATGGCAAGCTTTTCCTCCACTTCCCACACAGACTTCCAGTATCTCCCAAAGGCCGCCCAGCACTGGTCCCAGGAGCTCCCCCTAGGCCAGGGGGCTGTTCCCCGCCCAGGGGTGTCTGCGCAGCCCTTCTGCTCTCACTTGAAGATGGGAGACAAGCAGGGGATCTGCCAGCTGGCTGGTATTGCTTTAGGAAGCCCCCCTAAAACCTCTTTTCCTTTTGTGCAAAATTCACCTTAAGGACAAAAACCATTTTGTGGCAGGATTCCTAGCTGACATACCAAACTCCTTTTGTTTTCCCTCTCTCCCCTTCTCAAAATAGCTCCCACTTTCTTCTAGGAAGTTTCCAGTCCATTTTATGGCTGCCCTCAGGGCGAGTTTTTGGCAGGCACAAACAGAAGATGTTTGAGAACATCCTCCCCCACTTGCTGGTTTATTTTGAAGCCTGAAGTCCTTGGCAGGATTTCCTAGATGGTAAGAGGAGGAGAGGAGAGGAGGGAATGCCTTGGGGGCTGTGGGAGTATGGGATCATTTCTTTCCACCCTGATTCTGACAGCGCCCGAATGAGTGGGTGACCTCACAGGGACACAGTCTAAACAGAGAGGTGGCCTCTCTTCTCCATGGATTTCAGACTTGGCAGGAACCAGTAAGGCCCCAAGCATGAAGCCAAAACAGGGACCAGGAGCTCCAGCAAAGTCAAATATTTCTGCTCTAAGTTCAGGCAAACATTCATGATGTGAATGTTTCAAACTTCCACTGATGTGTGTCTTTTTTAGAAACTCCTCCTGATGGTAGTGAGAGGAGGGGAGAACCTGAAATAGCAGAGATGGTTGTTTTAGCATCTGGGGGGGTGGGTAGTGGGGTGTCAGATTATGTATGATTTTAAGAGAATGAGAAATGAGGTATTTCTTGGACCCCAGATTATAGTACCAATAAATCCATACCTACTCCACCTATACTTTTTGCCCAAGAAAACTTTCAGAGAGCCCTCCAAATCATGTATAAGTAAATTATATTCAGTTCAGATGAGCTTGAGCCCCCTCCTGGTTTCTTAGGTCTTTGTCACAACTCCACTGAATGTTGGACCAATGTGCCATGCTATCCCTGGTCCTATATTTTGCCAAACAAGGCTGTGCAATGGGTCTGTGGGAAGGATGGGGACAGGCTAGGAACTTTCTCATGACCTGTACAACTCAAATTTTATACCTAAGGAAGGAAAGAGGTGTCATAAGTGCTCATTTTCTAGCTGATCCATCTGATGCCTCAGATTCTAGGGGCAGCCGGGGTTAACACCTGTCTCTTGGTCAGAGCGTGTCTGCCGACCTTGCCGCCCCTACACTCTGAGACATGCCAAGACTGGACTCACTTGTAGTGCAGGCTGCTGAGGGGCAGGTCTTCCCAGACGGTCTACCAAAGGAAATACCATGCAAACTAGCTGCTTCCAGACGCCCCCACTCTCTGGGATGTTGAGCCAACTGGAGCCCAGAGGAGGAGGGGCCAGCAAGAAAGTGCTCATAGCTCTGAGTGTTTCCTAAGGATCGAAGCACAGGTAGATAGTGATGTTGGTTAGTGTTCACCTGCTCGTGGAGGCAGCAGGATGCCCAGCTTCTCCTTATCTCCTCTTCTACCCTATTTCTCCCAGATGTGGAAAGGTCAGAGGGCAGAGGTTGGGGGGTTGGTCCTTGTGGTCTTGGTCTCTATGTTCCTAGTCCTGCTAGTTGGCACTCATGCTGATCTGGGAGGGATCTGAGCATAAATGTCCTATTCCTGATCCTGAGGGAGACAGAGAAGACTGAGAAGGGCAGAGGGTGTTGTAACTTGTGGAGCACAAGATGCCCTCGCTGACCAGAGACTCTGCCTCAGGCGAGAGCCTGAACCTCTCCCACCCGGAGGGAGAGAAGGAGGGAGGTAGGGAGGTAGTGCAGACAGAGAAAAATGGGGGAAGGAGGGGAGAAAAGTGAGCCCAGGGTTTAACTCACATCAGTGGCAGGTGAGGAGGACAGGCTGAGGGAAGGAAAGGGTGGCATGAATTCGGGAGATGTACCTGCTCAGGGGAGGCCTGTTTCCCTGCTTCCCAGTGAGCCAGGGGAGAGATTGTGCTGTCTCAACTGAGGGGGTGGGCTGTGCACATGCTCCCCCCACCTTCAAACCCAGAGCCTTGGTCCCCTAGCTCTCTTCCCACCCGGAGAAAAGTGATCTGACTGACACTCCGGAGCAGGGGTCACAAAGCAGAGAGCAGCCTCAAAGGTTCTCTTCCTGGCTGCACCTGAGCCAGAGAAGAGGTCATCAGATTTGAAGAGCCCCCCATGGTTGTCAAAGCTGCTGCACATACACGCTCAGCTGGACTCCTCGCCTCAGATCGTGGACTTGGAAAGGCTTCTGTGTTTGCTCTGCCAGTGGGGACGTGCGGACTCAGAGCATCAAGCACCGTCCTGAGTCACACTGCTTTACAGAGGCAAAATTATGACTCAATTTAGTTAAGACTCAGACTTTATCTGTTCTATGGCCCTGGCCTGGCCCTCTAGACCCACCAAGGACTGTGCCATGCCCTCCCTCCCGCCGCATCCCCAGCATCCAGCTAGAAATGTCCAATAGTGCCCGTAGCCTTGAAGTTCTGGGTCACGTGGTTTTTTCGTGTGTGTGTGTGTGTGTGTGTGTATTTTAAGATTTAAATATTTCTTTGAGGTGGGGGTGGGGCAGAGGGAGAGGAAGAGAGAGTCCCAAGCAGAACGTCGGAGCCCAACACAGGACTTGATCCCGCGACCCTTAGATCCCGACCTGAGCCAAAACCAAGAGTCAGACCTTCAACCAACTGTGACACCCACGGGCCCCTGGGTCACAGTTTTTAAACAAGAAAGGGCATGCACTAGTTAAAGAGTTCTTCTGGGCAAAAAGCAATGTGAACCACCCACATGTCCTCAGCCTCAGCTGGTACTAGTGATTTAATTATGTTGTCCCTGGCCACTGTCCCCAAACTACAGCAGATGGGCCTTTGGGGATATCCCCCTCCTGGGATATTTATATCTATATCCCCTCTAGCTGTCCAGACACTGTGTTTGCTGACACTCCAGCTCCGCTCCAGGACCCCCACCTCCACCACCACCTTGGCCCCTCTGTTCTCCCCTTTGCAGGGACTTCGGCCCCTACCGGGCCTTCAAGATCGAGGCTCCCTGCTTCCTTGTCCCCAGGGACAGCTATCCTCAAACTGCCCTCACCTCCAGCTGGGGCCAAGGTAAGTGTCTGGGCATGGGGCTCACATGCTTATTTCTCCTAAAAACTTTGATATGAATGCTTCTGGCCACACTTCGTCTGTGAAGGAAAGGTCATGGTTTTCTTCTGGGTTTCTCTTCCTGTTTGTTGAAGCTTGTGGTCTTACACAGTTCTGAGAAAATGCAACCATGTGATTTCACAGAACACTGAAAATTATAAGAAATCACACGATGGTGAGTGTGGAAGGTTCAGGAGGCAAGCGGCTGAAAAGGGAGACACCTGTGACCTCGTCGATCCCACTTCATTTATTTACTCATTTCAGCAGCAGGATGGAAACAAGCTGAGCTGTCCCTTGTATTAAATCCTTGGAAGTGCCAACACGGGGTCCCCAACACTGCCTGGGTTCCCGGGGACTCGCCGACTCCTGCCCCTCACAGCCCGGGCTCCCATGTGGTGACGGTATGGGGAACAGCTTTACCAAAGCAAAGGGCCACCGATTCCAAGTCTTGAGCTGAGCAACACTAAACAAACAACACATAAATAAGTAAATAGCAATGGAGAGAAAAATCTTGCAAAGGATTTCTGCCTCTTCAACAAAGAATCAAAACGGAGAGAGTGGGGACCACAGAGATTATGGCCGTGTGGCCATCCCCGTCCTGTTTGCGCTGCCTGACTCACACCTGGGACAGCTGGAGAGCTTGTCCAGAGGCCTGTCCTGGGCCTCCCTTAGGAGCCTTCAGGAGGTGTCCATATCTGCGTGTCCCTTGCGGGTCAGCATCCCAGGCTCCTCCAGCTTCGGCTGGGGGGATTCTGCTCTGCTCCGACCTGAGGGCAGCAGGGGACCTTATCCCTGCCCCTGGCCGGCCTCACACGTGAGCTCAGTGACCTGAGGATTCAGGTGGGGCAGACAGAGGAGTCTTGGCTCTTACACAGTCACAACATGCTGAGCAAGGCTGCCCCCTGCAGGCAGCCTCTGCGGGGAGGACACACATTCAGCCTGGGCCCCTGTCCTCCTGTGGTGGGCGCAGGGCAGGCATCTGGCCCCATCGGGATTCAGGGGCTTCTCCTCCTTCCGGGGGGGTGGGTGGGAAGAGTGCAGCTGGTGACCCAGAAGGCACAGCGCACTTAGATGGCCTGGGAGACTTACCCGGCTTCCTTCCCCTGTCTCCCTCAGGGCCCTACGAGTTCTGCCAGGTCTCTCTAAAGAGGTGCAGTCACCTCAAAGTCTTCCTCTCTAGCCCCTGGCTCTCTCCTTCCAAGGAAACACCTGTTTCAGTGAGCACCGTCCTCCAGCAGGTGCTGCTGGGTGGAAGCCCAGTGTCCATGGGATTCTGTCTCTGCACCTCCAGCCCACGGGGAAACAGGGGCTCGTCCAAGTACCTCTGCCCGAGGCCTGCTCTCCCCTAACCAGGAAAGCCCCCAGGGTATTTGGAAATTCTGCATCCATGCATGTGGGTATGACGCACTTGACTCTCTCGCCTGGTCACCGTGGGTTCCAAGGGCTAGCTCTCCCTGGACTCATGACCTCACCCTA